AGTATGAGAAGTAGATGGATGTTTGCTTTTAATTTCAAATGGAAAATTTTGGTTTGAAGATTTATGTATTTTTGCAATTTTTTGAAATTTTCATATTTGTTGGAATATAAGTCCAAAGTGTTTTGCTTAGGATTTAGTGTCATTTTGACAACAATATGGCATCCCATTGAAATTTCTATCAATGCAGTTATTACTTGGTAATTTGAGTTATTTCATTTACATTTCAAGTTGAGAACTCGAGAGCTTGCTTTAACAGTGGCCACCCTCCAGTTATGAGTATCTTTGAATAATTTCATTTTGTTCTTCTTGGTCCTCGTTAATTATATTCGCTTTTTCATAGAGAGTCGAGCCCATGGTGTAGATTTCTGTAGAATTCATTTAATTATTCATCATAAATCTTGTTCATTCGCCCTCTGCACATAGAGGATCGGCTTTATGAGTAGAATTCATTATTGTTCTTTATTTTGAAGCTTTGAAATTCATATTCAAATACGATACAAAATTTTAAGCAAGTTTTTTCATGAAGATAATTTGGTTCTCAGTTTTATAATGGTACGAGTTTGTCGAGAGACCAAGTCATATGTTTAAAAGCATTAATTTAAATATATGGCATGCATAGTCACCAATAACTAAGGCTTGTAGATTGGGCCCAGGTGTGGTATAGAGGATCGGACTTAGAAATATAAGACTTACAATCATTTCGTTTGAGAATGTCGTGCAAGACATGTTGATGAATTTGGGTATTAGAAAAAAAAGCATGCACATTTTTTTAGTCATATCATTTAGTGGTTGCGTGCATTTCAGAGTAGGATAAATTTAAATTTGTATAGTATTTTTTGTTTGTGTATCTTTCTTTGACTTCAAATTATAGCTCTCAGTGCTATTTGTTGAATCACATTTAAACATTTGTTTATTTTGGCGTGCACACTATTTTGAACTTAAGTTTAAATATCAATGCTTTTATGACAGCCCATGCCTAAGTTTATTTTTTTAGTGGTTTGAAGCGTTTCAAAAGATATGCATATGATATGTTTTGAAAATATATAATTATTTTTTAATTTTGGCATGCATATCAAAACACCATGAGAGTGCACATTCGATATTTGCTACACTTCACGAGGATAAATGTATTTCTTGAAGTAGTTTCACAATTTTTTATAGATGCATCTACATAGCACACAATTCTTATGTATCTACATATCTTGCACCTAGCCTTTCATATTAGACACATCACTTAAATCTTTAATATCACATAGAAATAACCTTATTTTATGCATAGGTTTAAAGCACCAAAGTGCTATGTATGTAGTATAAAAATTTAGGTGTGAGATATGTAAATACATAAAAATTATGTGTTGTGCATGTAGATTTCCCATTTGTAAATCATCTTTTAAAATCTGCCGAGTTGCCTTGATTTGATGCTCGAATGAATAGTCTTGAGGCTTTAGCCTCAGTACTTCGGATGAGACTTACACATTTTTGTACTGAGACGTACGCCTGAGGCGTTTTATCTTGAGGCATTTGTGGCACGCCTCTGTTTTTTAAGTTAAATTAACTCAACTTACGAACGAATTTGATTGATAGCCAGTGTTTGGGTTCATTTTTGAGTGTCGTCTCGAGTGCAACATTCGCTTCGAGTGTCGACAAGCCCATTAAAGATACTTGTTTTGAGCGTTGACCTGATCTTCGTTTCTCCACTTCGAGCATCAACGGGCCCAATGTTCACTTCCCCACTCGTGTTAGCCCGATTGAGCATCCCTGCTTGAGCTTCATCTCTTGGTTGATCATTA